AGCATTATACGAATTTGTTGTAGACTCGGCGGAAACAATAATTCTTGTGTAAATCAATTATGAGGATGAGGAGGAGGAGGAGGAGGAGGAGGAGGAGGAGGAGGAGCAGGAGGCGGATGAGGAGCAGGAGGATGAGGGAAAGAGGAGGGAGATTGAGACGGGCAAGGGTGATGAGGAGGGTGAGGAGCACTGATGCGGACGAGGGGGACGAGCGGGACTCGACGAAAACATCAGTTCTGTTGTCGTCGACCTCCGACTCGCGGCGGGCGGGCGTGGAAAGGGTCGGCCCCGCGGGCAGACCGCACCGCTGCGGGGCACCACGGCGCGGCACCCGCCGCTCGCCGGGACCCGCCGCGACCCGCCGCGCCCGCTTCTCGCCGCGACCCCGAGCGACACCACCCTTCTGGAAACGGCAACAGGAAACACAGTCGAGCTGCTGCATTGGTCGGGTCGGGCGAAAAGGGGGGGATAGCAAAGGGGGCGTTTGAGAGTCAGCTCACGCAGAGGCGGCTGTGTATCGAGGAATGTGCCCCTCGGTGGGGCCGAAACCAGCTGCATGCAGCAGATTTCGTACCCCCCCCTTTTCCAATCCCCCCCTTTCGTCCGGCCCGAAACGGGGAGCACCAAGTAGGCCACGAAGGGGCTTTCCTGGACACGGCGGGCCCTGGCCACGAGTCGGCTCCCGACCGAGGTCCAAGGAACGGCCCCAGAGCCCTGCCCTGAAGCCAGAGCCCGAATGGGTCCCTCTGTCAGCCTCTTGCCTGTGGGGGCGCGCCTGTCCCAGGAGACGGGCGGGACGTGCGGCCAGCGGAAGCGTGTGTCAGGGCCGGGCCGTGACGGCGTGCGGGCTGGCCTCTGGACACCGCGTGGATCCCTCAACCCCTGAGTGATCCCTGAGGTCCGACGTGGCGATAAACCGCAACTCCCCTGGACCTCCGGAGGCCTCGGCCCATTCCCCGAATAGTCTTGCCGACGGCCCCCTGGGCCCTGCAGAGACAGAAAACTGCCAAGACAACCTCGCGTCGCGATCTTCTCATGACCCGAGGAGGTCTGTTCGTTTTCGCTACGCTCTGGACTCTGGGCCCGTCTTCGCTGCAGTTCTTCCTTAAACTGCCGCATGCGGGCCTGCCTGCCTGCGCGTATAGTGCACCGCCCTCCCCTTGACTGGGGCCAGCCTGACTGTGCTGGGCGCGAGTCGAGTCGAGTCGAGTCGAGCCGGGGGGGGGGGGGGGGGGCTAGGGCTGAGAGCCTCGCAACCCTTCGATCGGTGGCGAACGAGGGGGGAAATGAGAAGGGGCGGGCCTTCTCAGAAGGCTAGGAAGTCCCCAGGCCTCCTGAGAAGATTCCGAAGCCTCCCCCGAAGACACGAAAAACTTCTCAGAGGGCGCGAGGACTTCTGGGAAGACCCGCCGCCTTCTTAGAAGGCCTTCTCCTTCTCACTTCCCCCCCTCGGTCGCCGCCGATTAGGGCGATCGCGACTCTCCGCTGGCACAGGGCCGCTCGGCGCCGGCTGGCTGCGGGCCACTGGCCGCGCTGGACCTCCGGACGCCTTCCGCGGGCCTGCCGCGCCCAGGAGCCGCGCGCTCCCTGGGAGCGAGGGGGCCCCGCGGCCGAGGGGCGGGAGGCGGGAGGCGGGGGGGGGCGGCCCTGTTGGCATGGAGCGAGGAGGGAATAGGGAGGAGGAGGAGGAGGAGGAGGAGGAGGAGGGAGGGGAGGAGGAGGAGGAGGAGGGAGGAGGAGGGAGGAGGAGGAGGGGGAGGAGGAGAGGAGAGGAGGAGGCCTCGAGGAGGAGGAGGAGGAGGAGGAGAGGAGGAGGAGGAGGAGGGAGGCAGGAAGAGGAGGAGGAGGAGGAGGAGGAGGGAGGAGGGAGGAGGGAGGGTGCCAGCCGCTGAGCCCTACCCCTACCCCCCACGATTTCTGAGGAGGAGGGTGGGGTTCACTTCGCACGGGAGCTCCCAAGCGAAGTGAACCCCACCCTTCTCCTCAGAAGTCGTCAGGGGTAGGGGTAGGGTTCGCAGGCGGTCCCCGGTCCCCTAGCGAGGGGGGGGGGGGGAGCGAGAGGGAGAGAGTGCCTTCTCAGAAGGCGGCGGGGCTCCTCGGAAGCCCCCTGGCCTGCTGAGAAGCTGCGCCTTCGGGGAGGGCCGAGAAAACTTCTCAGGAGGCTGGGGGACTTCCGAGCCTTCTGCGGGGAGCCGCCCCTTCTCACTGTGCCTGCGCGGACCGCCGGCGCGGCACGCCACAGTGGAGACGAGGGTGCTTGCGCGCGACCTCACTCGGACAGCTTGTGCGCCAATGTCGGTGACGACGACTCCGTCTTTTTTTGGCGTCGCCCGGTCGCCTCCACAGGCGGTGTGAACCAGAATCTGTGTGAGACAGGCGTCGGAAGAGGAGCGGAAATGCGGGTGCTTACTGCACAGCCGACGAGGGCTCGCACCCTGGGAGGGAGGGGCAGGGAGGGGGTGGGGCAAGGCCGTCGTCGTCCGGAGCCCGCGCGGAATGG